ATGCATTGAAGATCTCGATATTTAGAATGTTGTTGGGGATAATGCATATAGACTTTTTTTATATTTCACTCACCCGTCCGCTTAATAATTAATACTAAGACTCGGCAACGTTATATAAATATACTCCAGTCGAAATTTAGTAGAAATAGACTCTAGCATCGGAGGAAATAAACTCATAAATAAAAGCTATTTAGATAGAGAAAAAATTCAAAATATTTTTTGGAGATCGACTTATGTGTAAAATTATTTTGTCGCACAAGCATAGTTTCACAGATGATTTGTGAACTATCACATATTATATCATATATACTTTAATGAGAATCGAAAATGTGCTAATTTATGTCACATACTGTTCTCCTACATGCATTGTGACAGAGTGAAGTAAAAAATATATAGTTTTTTTTATTGATAATATTCGAAATTTTGATCAGAACGCTACAGGGGAATTTTGTCAGAGAGTCACATGAGATGTATTCCCTTATACTGTTATACATTCATTCCAATATAATTATCCATTCCAAAATACAAATATACTAACCGGATAATTTCACCACGTGATTTATTCGGATAAGCAGTTACCTGTCTATGATAATATTCAGAATTTTCAATCATTTTTACTGATACTTTGTGGAATCTTACAAATAATTGAATTTTCTTATTTTGTATCCAATCACCATCTAAAAACTTCTCTTCATCAGTAGTATCATCATTTCTCAGCGCATTCCAAATTTGAGATGCGAATGATGCAGATCTCTTCTTGTAACTCCTCCAAGCCTGTTGGATAACTCTTACATTATTAATTAAGCGATTTACAATCCTTTTCTTAATTTCATTTGAATATTCATAAGTATAAATATTCAAGCCTTTTTTGAATATAAAACAATATGATAGATAAATCTCATCAACTTTAACAGAACTGAGCGATGATACACTCTTTCGGATTAGCGCTCCTTCCTTTTTTACATTCTTTCATGTATGAATAGAATATGTAAGATTCTTTTCAGTCGTTCTAGTAATACATTTATTAAGATGATCACTAGCACATTCGATGGTATTTTCACAGATAAACATCAAGGAGTCGCATACAGTACAATAAATATTAAATGAGCGTCTTCCAGCTTTAAATTTCCCATCTATATATGATCTTTCAATCATCTGGATAAACCCATTCTTTGAGAAGTATTTTGAGTTATATTCGAGAAGTTTCTTGAATGGATAACGAACACGAGAACACCACATTTCTGGTGTTTCACCACCATATCTATATTGTAGATTGTTTAACGCCTGCACTACTATAGGATTTAAACCTGGATAGTTAGTTTTAATCATTTTACATCTGTAAGGGACTTTATAGCAATTTATAGCTGTTTTAGTGATTTATGTTGTTTTTAGCGAATATTTCTTGTTATAACAGTTTGTAGCAAGTATATTATAATAATGTATCAGATTCATTTTTATTCGATTTATATAGGGTCATATCTTAGGCTAAGCTAATTTTATATTTACATGCAGTTTGTGGATCTCTCGTGATTATCAGGGATTAGCTGAAGGAGTTTCGTATGATATATAACATAAAAATTTGTATCACATGAGATCTCCCCTAGTTCCCTGTGCGAAGCGCCTACGACCCAGTTCTTTGAGAGTTCCAGGCGCTGACGAGTTTCTATAAATCACGAGATGATCAGCTCTTTTTTTATATATACGACATTATACAGAATCACATTTATTTTTCAGATGCATTATTATACATGATAAAAACACTAGGCTTGATATGGATAGGTCCAGGGATCACAAAACTTTATTATTTATGATAATCATGCTTTACAATACTATGTATAAAAAAAAGTGCTAAATTTTGAGAGCGTGCCATGTGGCTCGATCTCAGAATCCCACCATTATTTGGCCTTAGGTTCGTGCATTCTTTCTAACCTGAGACGCTACATATCTGATATTATCATCACTTAGATTTGAAATAGATGTTGCTGAAAATGATTTTATTCATCCGATGAATACCATCCGTTGAATTTTATCATTGGTAATACAGAAAAAAAGATCATAGACCTTCCTTGCCCTGTTCGATTTCTTCCGAATAGCATTTTTGGTAACCTCTTTGGGAAGCTGATCTTTAACCTCATCGTAAAGCTTCTTTAGGGCTTCATGTTCTTTGTATCCTTCTCTATAATGGACAAGGCGTTTCTCTAGTTCCTCTCCATAGTGGTAATAAGCTATAATGAGTTCATGGCGTGCCTTTTCATTTCGCTCTTCAGCATTAGTGATCTTAAAATACAAATCAAAAAAAATTTGGGTACTTCTATCTTCTTGCATTGATTCTCTTTGGAGACCTTTCTTTTCCTTAATTACTGAAATTTGAGTGGTATCAGAAGACAACTCCCGGATGAGTCTTTTTAAAATATTGGAATTCTCATCTAGATCACGTTTCTTGAATTTCTTGCTGGCTGAAGAATCCATATTCTCATTAGCCTGTTTCTTGCTCTTACTGTTAGAAGCTGAGTCAGTTTTCTCTGGCAGAGTTGATTCTACTTCCCCATCCTCATTATTCTTCTCATCTATGTCCATTTCTTCTGAAGACAATGACAGATCTTTATCATCAGCTATACCACACGAGCATTCTAATACACCCCTCTTATCAGGTTTTCCTGCACAAGTCTGATGGATTATATCACCACAAACGTTTAAAACTAGCGACCTAGGTGGGTTTTCTGTTAAAATAGGCTTATCACATTCTTGACACATCTCACAATCCTGGATAGTATCATTGGATTTAATAGATGAAAAGTCTGATTCTTCACGAAGAATATCTTTGGAGAGATATTTTAGTATACTCAACGCAAGAGATTTAAGGAATCTATCACGCTTCAGTTGTACTTTGTAAATATCACTGCTTTGGATGTTGTCAGTTTGATCTTCCGTATCTGATTCCTCTGGCTCCTCCATATTATTATCAACAGAAGTATTCGGACTTTCGACTCTAGTGGAGCTTTCTTAGTTTTTCATGGTAATGTTTTTTTTTCGAAAAAAGATAATATTTCTCGCTTATTTTATAGGGTCGCAGGAGAAAGATATTACCGGATTTTCATTAGAGGTCCCTTTTGGACCAGGCAATTACACACAGCATGGCATCATTCATTAGCAGTCCCTTTAGGATCAGGCCCTTACAAACCAATAAAAAAGACTATTATACTTCCAGTTAATGATACGATCGTTGCAAAACATGAAACAAATATGTTAATCCTATCTATTAATTTGAAATTAAGCTGTATTAACATGCAGGCTCTAATCATAGTTAAGCCGGGCTCGTTTCTGGCTGATCCTTTTGGGATTGCTCCTCTTTTTTATTGCTTTTCATTTCTTATCTGCAAATAATATTAATAAAAAAAATATGAATTATATCCTAGAAATACCTGAACTACTTGAAGCTATCTTTGCCTTTCTCAGTCGAAAAGATCTTTATAGAAGTTGTGCTAGAGTAAATCATCAATGGAATGCTGTATCTAAGCTTATTATTCGGAAAAAGAGAAAAGCTGAGTTTATTAGTATTCCTAGCATTCGTAATAATATTATTTTTCACCTATATGATGATCACCTCAGTTTAACTGAAATTGTTAACTATTGCAAAATTAGTGATATATGGAGTAATATTCTTAATCGGTTAAGTGCAAGGACTATTTCTCTTTCTATGTTATATCACCATAAAGCTTTCTTAAATGCTTTTCGCTATAATAGAAGGCGATTTCTTTATAATAAAAAACAATTTATATGTTATTTTACAAGTCGTAATACGCAATATTATTTAAAACAGGACCATGAACTAAACAGGTACTATCAGGATATCTATTCACTTTATGAACTAAGGGATGAATTTCATAGACTGGCCAGAGTTTGCCAGTCCTATGACTATAAGCCAAATACTGAGGACGAATTTCGTAAGATATCCAGAGTTTTTCGATCTATTAGACATTAACTGAATATTTATTACATCAGGAAAAAATAATATAATAATGTATGTGATCTGACTATTCATCACTATCTAGTTTATGCCTGAAAGCTAGATATGTGAGACACACACTCGTTTTGGTATTTCTCTGAGAGCTTGGCCCTTATAGCTCTTTTTTCAGCCTCTTTATGAGGTATATCATTTTTGACCATATTCTTATAAATCATATTACGCTAATTATTATATGGTAAAGGGGTAATTCCATCTGATAGGAACCAGTTCTTAGTATCTATGGGGCTGAGTGCCTTTTTCTCCGATTTGACCAGAGATAATATGTGATCCTTTGATCGGATACCTACATTCTTTGCATAGAATACTTCCTTACTAAAGAGACAGTCCCGATATACTTGGGTCATAGGATCGAAAACTTCTGATTGATCTACTGGATCATCTAGCAAAGTTCCCCCTAAGGATGGGAAGTATGTATCAGTTATCATCTCGCCCATACCTTTCTTACTAACCCCCTTATGTCTAAAATTTGTGGTCTTATTGGCTAAGACATAGTGGTAAGACTTGGCTCGAATGTGAAAAGATTCTGTAATCACACTGTTAGGGGTCTCATCCTTGAATAGCCTAATAGTTTTGGAATCATTGAGATCGAATATATCTGGTCGCTCAGCCATATCTTTATAAATATCCTCAGTCATAATTAGAATTATAAAGGAATCAGTGTCCATATAGCTAAGCTGAGCATTATTGCCATATCTCTCCTTTACATATCCATACCAGAAGCGGTACATATGGAGCTTGCTAAGACTCAAGACTGATGCCCCAACTATTATAGGCTTATTTAAAGTCACGCTAGCCTTACCCATATGCGCACCTATTAGCGTATCTCCAAATTGCCTAGCATATTTGAATGAGAGCTTGCGGATCTTATTCAAGAAAGCCTTTTCATCCCTCTCATTATTACATTTCATGAGCTTTACATCCTGGTATTTGCGAACATTCTCCATAGTCTTGCCATATACTGAGTTATTCATGTACTTGAAGAAGTCTTTTTCAAAGGCATTCTTAGCTCCTTGACGTTTCTCAGTATTAAATGCAATATATAGGGCAAGCCAGTTATCCTGGTCGAAGGAAAGGATCTCTGAAACTTCGTCTACAACCATGCCTAATTTTACATAGTATTGGAGCTCTAGGTAATGGATGACATAATCCTTTCTCGGACCAAGATGGGTGACTAATTTTTCTGTGACAGAGAAGTGTTCACCATCTAATTGTTCTACAAGTTTAGCATTATATGGACTAAGCCAATCCTTTCCTACAGCAACATTCTCCACAGCTGGAGGTAAGTCTCTTAAATAATCATGGGTCTTAAGAGGAAATGAGACTTAATGTTTAGGAAATATCCGCGTGGGCTATTTGCCTTAGTCTTAAGAATCTTTTCGAGATATTTCTTTTGCATAGCTGGGTTCTTGAGTAAATACTC